GAAAATAACAATGTTCTTCATGTTGTCCAAATTACCTACTACTTATTTGGGTGTGACATAGTGAATTGTAATACATTACCAGGTAAGTGCTACATTACTGCAGACAATTAATTACATAGTAAAATTGTACCCTAATTACCACATAATTACATATTAATAAGAGTACCGTAAAATAAAGCGCTACCCACCCTTCTGTATAAGGAAAATCAGAATGAATGTTTTCACCACAAAATGGACATTTTACAAAAAGGCAAAAATTACCTTTTATAATTGTAATTCTGTTTAACCCAGAAGCAGCCCCTTTCAGTAACAACAAGCACTGCAAGCATTTAATACGTGTTATATCTGTAGATACCCTCACTATTGATTGCCTTGATGTTATTAGCAGTTCTTGGAAATTATTATTACAAAAAGAAAAAAAATGTTATTTAGTAACAAGTGTGGCACAATAGCTTCTGATTCTTGATAGTGCTCTGATTGTGTCTAACATAATCCTAATTTACAAAGTTACAGGAGAGCAAATGCAGGCGTTTTGTAAGCACACCATAAATCCATGCTGCAGTATGTCTCATTATTGTAACTGCATTTCCCCAAGGAAACATTAGTGTGACTCTGTGAAGTCCAGAGCTAACAGACCGTTCAAAATAGACTGCATGACTGAATATCTGGCATTTATGTCTATGATCATYGTATAAGTCACAAGTTACTTTTTTACTAAATAATTATCCATTCATTCAAATAAACACAGCTGTGGAGAAAAGGTTGTAATCAAGGAGAATTTATTGTGAAAATAAATATTCTTAAAAGAGCTATTTGAATGTTTTAGATTGATTTGTGTAATAGATAACTTTAACTGTTATATTGAACCATTTGCGCATAATGAAATTTGTAAAAAAAAAAATGCACAAACACATTATGCACAGTATGTCCAATTGAAAAGCACAAAAAGGYAACATTCATGAATCTAAATACTTGTGAGAAAAAAATTATTCCATTTATCCCAGTAAAATTTAGATACAGCGTAATGGTAGCGTATGACCCAGACGCATACGCAAAGCCACCAATAAGCTTCTATGTTGAATAGTTTTTGAGTTATAAGCATATTTGTATGTCCAGACACCCTAATTTAGTTGGAGCCCCCTCCTTAAATATGGGGTCTATTGTAAAACTGTTGGCTGGCTCAGTGTCRGTCAGACACATGGAATAATAAATAAATAAACAGTATAAAAACAATATGACCCCCACTTTGCATGCGGGGGTCATAATAATCCAGTGTCTGATTTACATATGATATTGTGAAAAAAAAAAGTTTTGACACAGGTCAGGGTTGAGTATTATCCTTCTAGAGTACGCACCCACCAAATTACCAGTGTCTTACATTAATGCTTTATGTAAATGATCATTAGCCTGGATGGCTTATTTATTGAAATTGCATCAAATAGTGGGTTATATAAGACATAAAATCTAAACRGATGCTCTCCCCAAGGACAAGTATTCTATCTTTTTTTTAAGTATTCCTCAAGAGTAGGAAATTAAATTAAATTAGGATAAAACAAATTACATGATATTTAGTAACAGAAAGAAAACTGATGTTCCGTTTAGGGTGGATGGTGCTGATATTTGCAGAGTCAGTGAGGTGAAGTTTTTAGGTGTCATCATTGACAAAAAAACTTACTTAAAATTACTTAGTAATTAGTAAGTTAAAAAAAAGTACTGTATAAAGTGAAGGAGTTATTTAATGATAAAGCACTATTTATACTATATAATGCAATAATTGTTCCACATTTGATTTAATGTACAGAAGTCTGGGGAA